GTTGACTGATTATACCATTTTTTAAAATTCTTGTATGCAGTATGAAAAATTGCACTCATAAAATTACTGAGATTGTGAACGTCAATGTGTTGATAAAGTGGTGTCTCTTACAACAGCTATGATTTTTTTTTCTTTAATAGTATAGTAACTCTCTCGGCGAATTTTACTCCAAGTTTAATGGGTGATTGGGGGGGGGGGGGATAGGGAGGGGGAGTGGGGTGGGGGGAATAACTTAACTGTCGAATGTTACACCCAAAAAAATTGGCTAAATGTCCTCATTAAAAACATTAGGTTTTTCCCCCCTTCAGTGGTAAGAACAAAACAAACAACAACAAAAACCGAAGATGCTGGAATTTATCTCTCAGATGATTTAACCTGAAGGGCATAAACTGAACAACAGCAAAGCTGAATAATTCGTGGGTTGAAAATATAAACGAAGATAGTAAATGAGGGACGTTAAAATATGCCTACCAGGATTCATTGTATGCATGTAATTATATCGTGCCTTGTACGGTACATAAGGACAATAGCTGATCACATAAAACATACATCATAGAGAATTCAAAAACTTGAAAGCCGAGTAAGAGCTGGAAGCTATCCTACCTGCTCGAAAGTTTAAGGTTCCAAAACAAGCTGAACCTAATTTGGACAATATGGTCACCGAGAATAATTATGTGAAGTATGTCTTTCATATCGACTATGTCCAGTATGGACCAAGGAAATATTATGTGAAGTAAAACTCTTATGTCGACCGTGTCCAATATTGATTTGGGAAATATTCTATGAAGTAAAACTCTTATGTAGACCATGTCCAATATGGACCCGAGAAATATTCTGTGCAGTAAAACTCTAATGTCGACTGTTTCCAATATGGGCCCGTAAAATATTATGTGAAGTAAAACTCTAATGTCAACTGTTTCCAATATGGACCCGGAAAATATTCTATGAAGTAAAACTCTCATGTCGACCATGTCAAATATGGACCCGGGAAATATTTTGGGAAGTAAAACTCACATGTTGATAGTGTCTAATGTGGACACTGGGAAATATTCTATGAAGTAAACGCGATCTTCTTGGTATTCTCCTCATCACCTACTGAGTTCTTTTAGTGTTTACAATTCAAACTTAACACCAGACATCGAGCTCGTCTCCTGACATGAACATCTGTGCTCGAGCAGAGTTAAATACTAACCCTTTCTTATTCTCCTCCTTCTTAGCGTTCACATGCTGAAAACTCCAGCTAATTGTACTTGTTGTTTGTACATAGGAATAAAAAGTACAACGTGGACTTGAGTCCTGTTTTAGAACCTGCCTTTTGCATGTTTTACAGATCTAGCTAATTTTATACAGTGCTGGTTCAGCGCCTCTTGGACAGATGCACTTTGCTTCGACGGAGAAATCTAATATTTAACGCCATTTACGACGGACGTACTTGTCAGAGGCCGATCTGTCTATATCTTTCTTTTCTTTTTTTTTTTTTTTTTTTTTTTTTGAACTAAGGAACCCACACAGGAAAGTCAACCTTAACAACATCGAATCATGCATGTCTCACCTTGCTGACAAGGCTCTCCCTGAAGTTAAATACACCAGTTGAGTTATCAAAAGGCTGCACCTTTGAATAGACACTACCCCAGGAATCACCCATGACACCACCTGGAACAGAGATGATACCTTGGTCAATGGTTACTATATCATGGTCTATGATAAATTAGGAAGAGCTTTCTCATGATTATGTTGTAGAAATGTAGAATATCCCTCTAGAGCACGCAGGCCGGAAAACAACTTTACCCACTTTAATCTTTCAAGCCTCATGAACTGTTATGCCCAGGATGTCTTTGATATCCTGCATCCACACTTGTGATGGTCCACCACTGCCTTTTCTTCCAGAAACTATACCGTCTATTATTGTTCTCTTCCAACCGTTATAGTGTTAAATGGGCCGACATTTTGTTGTTACAAGAGACGATACTGTTTATGAGCCAGCGCCACTCCATACTCAGATCACGAAGCATGTCAGTAGTTGGGGGGGGGGTGGGGGGTAAGGTCTACCTGAATTCTTTCTAGGTGTGGGTTCCCATTGCAAGCACATTCTAACTGTTCTGGTAGGAAGATTTGTGAATGTGTCTCCTGTGTAACAACAAAGTATGTTCCTCGATAAATTGATTCATTATAATTAGTTCTCTCCGAAATCTAGTGATTTTGTCTTTTGAATCATTCAATAATCAGCGCAGACACCAGTTAACGAATAAGTGTTGTTTATTATAATAATTTTTTTTTAAAACATGTTTCAGCTGCAGATAAGTTTAATCATTTGACATTAGAGAGCCAAACATCAACTAACAGTCTTTTGAAAACTCATTTTGCATTTTGTGTTTATATTTTCGTATCTGTATCTGTTCATCTATCTATGCCTACATTACTTTAAAAAGACTTTTACATTGACAATAATTACAAAAATTATGAAAACGTAACAGCGAAGAAGAATTTTTTTCTTCTTCGCTGTTTCGTTTTCACAATTTAAAATAATAACAGAAAAAGGAAAGAAAAAATGAAAGAAGAAGAAGAGATGATAATACCTATGAAAATCCAGTTTCGTTCTTTTTTAGAATGAAATTTTTTTTTTGAAGCCCCACTCTGGCTTTTGCCAGGGGTCGCAATATAGACAAGAGGCCATAAATATGGCCAATTGTCTGAACGCGGTTTCTCGGGCCTCTCCACGGCGACCCTCATCCACATGGTGGAACTTTGTGTCATCGGGTGTTTGTCGCTTGTGTGATGTCCTAGTGAGGTAGAGAGTCAGTCAGTCAGTCAGTCAGAAGAAGAAGAAGAAGAAGAAGAAGAAGAAGAAGAGAAAGAAGAAGAAGAAAGAAGAAGAAGAATGAAGAAGAGAAGAAGAATCAAGAAGAAAGAAGAGAAGAAAGAAGAAGAAGAAGAAGAAGAAGAAGAAGAAGAAGAAGAAGAAAAAGAAGCAAAGAAGAAGAAGAAGAAGAGAAGAAGAAGAAGAAGAAGAAAAAGAAGAAGGAAGAAGAAGAAGAAGAAGAAGAAGAAGAAGAAGAATAAGAAAAGAAGAAGAGGAAGAAGAAGAAGAAGAAGAAGAGAAGAAGAAGAAGAAAAGAAAAGAAGACTCAGAAGAATGAAGAAAGAAGAAAAGAAGAAGAAGACGAAGAAGAACGAAGAAGAAGAAAAGAAGAAGAAGAAGAAAAGAAGAAGAAGAAGAAGAAGAAGAAGAAGAAGAAGAAGAAGAAGAAGAAGAAGAAGAAGAAGAAGAAGAAGAAGAAGAAGAAGAAGAAGAAGAAAAAGGAAGATAAAGAAGAATAAGAAAATTAAGAAGAAGAAAGAAAGAAAGAAGGAAAGGAAGTATGTTCCTCGATAAATTGATTCATTATAATTAGTTCTCTCCGAAATCTAGTGATTTTGTCTTTTGAATCATTCAATAATCAGCGCAGACACCAGTTAACGAATAAGTGTTGTTTATTATAAATAATTTTTTTTAACATGTTTCAGCTGCAGATAAGTTTAATCATTTGACATTAGAGAGCCAAACATCAACTAACAGTCTTTTGAAAACTCATTTTGCATTTTGTGTTTATATTTTCGTATCTGTATCTGTTCATCTATCTATGCCTACATTACTTTAAAAAGACTTTTACATTGACAATAATTACAAAAATTATGAAAACGTAACAGCGAAGAAGAATTTTTTTCTTCTTCGCTGTTTCGTTTTCACAATTTAAATAATAACAGAAAAAGGAAAAGAAAAAAATGAAAGAAGAAGAAGAGATGATACCTATGTCCAGTTTCGTTCTTTTTAGAATGAATTTTTTTGTTTTTTGAAGCCCCACTCTGGCTTTTGCCAGGGGTCGCAATATAGACAGGCCATAAATATGGCCAATTGTCTGAACGCGGTTTCTCGGGCCTCTCCACGGCGACCCTCATCCACATGGTGGAACTTTGTGTCATCGGGTGTTTGTGCGCTTGTGTGATGTCCCCTAGTGAGGTAGAGAGTCAGTCAAGTCAGTCAGTCAGAAGAAGAAGAAGAAGAAGAGAAAGAAGAAGAAGAAGAATAAGAAGAAGAAGAGATAAGAAGAAGACAGAAGACAAGAAGAAGAAGAAGAAAGAGAAGAAGAAGAAGAAGAAGAAGAAGAAGAAACACAAGGAAGAAAAAGAAGACGAAGAAGAAGAAGAAGCAAGAAGAAAACAGAAGACGAAGAAGAAGAAGAAGACAGAAGAATAGAAAGAAGCAGAAAAATAGAACGAAAAGAAGAAGAATAATCACTAAGAATAACTCAGCAGAAGCCGTACGCCAGAATAAGAGAAGATAGATAGACGAAGAAATAGAAAGAAGAAGAAGAAGAAGAAGAGAAGCCGCAGAAGAATAAGAAAAAGGAAGATACATAATGACTCAGACATACAGAAGCGCCGACAGAAGAAATAAAGAATGACAAGAAAGAAAGACGGAACAGAATAAGAAAGCAAGAGGATAGAAGAAAGCCCTGCCAGCAATAACAACCAAAGAAAGAAAGAAAACGACAGAAAGTTCAGAACGAAAGAAAGAAAGAAAGCCCGCCTGATCTCGAGCCCATAACACGACAGACAAGCACGCAACATCCTCATGAACGGAACGAAGGCAAAGAAAGAAACTAAATCCCTCACTCCTCCAGCCTCCGAAAGCAATAACTCCAGTCCCTCCATCAAATCCGTCCCTACAACCTCCCGCTACTAAATCCCGTACCTCCCTCCAAGCACGACCGACGGCCACGAAAGAAGACTCAGAAAGAAAGCCCTCCATAAAGAAAAAATAAAGAAAGAACAGCACAGAAAGCCCGAAAGAAATAAAGAAAGCAAGCAGACAAAGCCATAGCCAAAAGACCAACAAGAAAGAAAGAATCAAAAAAGTAAAGAAAGAAAGAAAGAAAGAAAGAAAGAAAGAAAAAAAGAAAGAAAGAAAGAAAGAAAGACAGAAAGAAAAACCACCATGCATATCAACTTCAATGACTCACCAAGAATAGATTCCGGGATTTGACCTGAATGAGGAAAATTGGAACTTCCCCAGAACTCTATCAATCTGGTCCTCACGTAGGTATGTAGCTGTCTGTATAAGGGAAGTATCTCTTTGTAGAGTCTCTTCGCTTCCTCTTCAAGATTGGAGATTCCATACTGAGAACGCCAGTATGCTCCAAGATCATTGTGTCCTACAAATCGATCAATAATATTTTGTAATTTCCATTCGCCAATTTATGAATTGTACTAACATGTCTAACAAACAAAAATGTATCTTTTATTAATCATCGATATAAAAAATATTGATTTTTTTTTAAAACAGTAAAATATCTGGGAGGAAGGCGAAGGGAAAGCCAAGAAGACAGTGATAAATAGTGGAGCTGAAACCTGCACAATGATGAACAAATCCATCACTCGAGCCACCCCAGAAGTGCAAAACAAATACAGAAAACTCGGGATACTAGGCTATATCAGTAACAACTATGATACCTGAACGCGATGACTCAGGCTGTAGATGCCACCTGCCCTCTCCCCTCGCCACAATAAATCAGTTTGTATGGGAGAAAGCAGTCCCCTCATCATGCACACAAGCTCTGTATATTTGTTAGCATATATCATATTATTTCTTATCCCGTGATCATCATCATCATCAGTTGCCTTGAGGACTGGTGTGGGCGATCATGCCTCTCCGATATCTGCGATCTCCTGCAGCATGTATTAGTTCGTGTGCTGACACACCTCCAAGCCATGCAACAAGACTGTCTCGTTGACTTTCCGTGATACCTTGGCTAACAAGTGAATGTGCTGGCTAAGATACTTTTCCCTGTTTTACGGCGTCAGAATTTGGAAAGTGCTGAGGTATTTTTGAGTCGTCATAATTATTGTCTCCTTGGGCATACATTCATCAACATAAGTTGTACCGTCACATTTGTTGGCCGTTGAAGATTATTAGTTCTTTCTTGTCATACACTGAATCCATGATATTATGTTACTACGAGGTCTCCCATCAGATCATTTTAGTTGTGTCCTGCACTCTAATGGCATCCACCAAACCCTTTGATGTGCTGCTTCTTAATACATCTGGTGCAGTAGGATGTTTTTACAGTATGTCTGATAATTTTATTTGTTACTTTGTAGTGCATAGTTATCTTCCTGTCGTTCTCCACGATTCTCATCTCGTGTGTGTTAACTTATAAGTAAATCAGCCTTTGTCAATTTCCAAGGTGGATACTGGCAGCAAAGCGTTGGTAAGAATTCGCTTACAACTTACCCATAAGTTTCGCTATGTAATTGCACATTATTGGTGAAAAAATGTCTTTGTTTTATTGGTTTCAGTTGTCATGTGGGATCCCTAAAAAGTACGTTTCTATTTAGCTTACAACTTACCCGAAAGCTTTATTGCGTCATTGCTAAGCTTCACGTAATCAGTGAAATGTTTCTTCATTATTTCTCCAACCTGGCGTCCTACCTGGCGTCCTACCCTAGCTGATGAAGTGATTAACTGATTATAATCTCCTTGGAAGGAGAGTGGATCTCTGATACCTGGTAGAAGAAAAGAGCACCTGGCATTGTTACAATCAATTTTCATGTGCTATATTCATAATTTCTTTTAAGTTCAACAGCGCTTAAAAAAGAAGCTTCTGGTCTAGTTGTTAAGAACGCCCTGCTGTATTTCAGGAGAATCAGGTTCGAATATTCGGTAAGCTAATGGCTTCTTTTTGGTAAACCCCCTCTCCCCACACCTCCCCCGCCCCCATAAAAAATTGTAATCTGTACAATCCATGGCGATGGCTCTATCCCTACTGCCCTAAATCATCGGACTTAAGAACTTAAGACACTGAAGTTCTACAGCTTCCTAAAAAGTGGTTACAGCAGGTAGTAATTATGGTCAGTAAATACAGGTAGTTAGTACAGTCAGTTAATAATAAGAAGTTAGTTGCGTATCCTTTGCAGGACCTTGCAGAACCATCCCTAGCATATTTTGTCTGTTGTGGTTTTCTAGACGGATTTTACGTTCAGTAGTTTGCATTGCGGAGAACTGTCAGCTCTCGGTACCAATGTCGACACTAAGACAAGACTAATCTTCCTCAGCTGGGTTTGATCCCGGTACACCGGCACTACGAAGAAAGGTCCCAACGATTAAGCCAAAGTCGCTGATGACGGTAAATACAGGCAGTAAATGTTAAATGTTGAAAAAGGAATCGACATCTGAGTACTGAGGACACCCCTATAAGCGTTCCGTTATCATCTTCAGCAGCCAGCTAAGAATAAAAATGCCGATGGCACCATGTCTGATTGTATACCTGTCTCACCTTTCCCCCCGAGTGTCCAGAGTCGGCCAGATCCCCTTGTAACTCCTTGCAGTGCCATTCTCCACAGACCGTAATGATCTATTTGTTCCTCAGCACTGTTCTCTCACTCCTAAAGGACCCTCACAACATCCAGCTTGTCATACATCAGTTCACAACCAGATGGAAATTTAAAAAAAAGTAGTATTTTAGCTCACTACACATCAACCCACAGTCCGCATTTGCTCAGTAGCTCCCGAATCCCAAACGAAAAAATAAGGACTGTAATTGCCTTTGATGCCGAAACTGTTTGCTTGAATTATTTAGGACTTCTTTGAATAATGAATGTGAAACCATTGTTTTGACCGCTCCTTTGTCTTTGCATTTACGAAGTGAATCCATGTCGCTCCCCCAGTCATTTTTCTTCGAGAATAGCATCCCTATTTTACCAGTGGCGCAGAAGAAATGTCAAAGCTGAGCCCATTCTTTGAGCTTTGCAAACTTCAGCAGCTTTGGCACCCATCTGACCCATCTGGGGTAGCTAACGTCTATGTGACAATTTTCTACAGACGAGTCCAAGAAATTTGTAGAAATTCTGTAGAACAATATAAAATTGAGAAACGGCGCTTTTCCGTTACGACTTCTTCGACTTTTTGAATGAGCATCTGTCACATTTGATTGGCTTCCTTATCCACCTTAATCTTGCATATCTTTACGCGCATTTATGATTTTCCTGCACCAATGCCTCACAGAACTGTCACGTATAACTGTACACACGACCCAGTGTACGATGAATATCTGTTTGAAGACACGAATCACGTTATGACGGGAAAGGCAGTAACAGTTTCCATGTACAAACCTGACTGTACGCTGATGGGTAGTGAGCTAAAAGACTACTGAATGAAGCAAGCAATGAGCTGTGTCGCTATGGCAAACTTTTATTTTTACTGGAAAGAGCCCTGGTATAATCACACTACAGTCTGAAGACAGCTAAATCGACTTCATTGCGCCAAGTTTTATCACATATGGCTCAGCCTCTCTGCGCAGAAGGGCTTACATCTGCCGTGAACGTCACATAAGGCACAAAATGCTCCAGGACAGCTCAGCAATCTACCCCTAAAATTTCACTCGAGAACTAAATGACGCCGTTTCTGAATTGAACAGTGACATTTAGAGCATGAAGCAATCGCTTTAACCACTTTACCACGGAGATCAGCAATGTTTTATTTCCATAAAAATGTCTGCTATAATGTGTAATGATTATATATTGTACGATACATAAGCCCAACCTGAATCTGAAGATGCATATGATCGTCGTGTTAAGCTGTACTTTTCTTCGTTGTAGAGTGCGTTCATTTTTGCCATTGTACTCGCCAGCTTTATACAAGGTAAAATTTAAAGACATTAATTATTTACAAACTGAACGTTTTCTTATTGCTTTAGGCTTTCATTTACGTAATAAGAACCCAATTCTTAGTACAAGATAAGATGCAAAAAGTTAATCAAGAATACTTCATAAATAAGCATCTTGTAGCAAGATCTTTTACAAAACATTACTCTCATAGCAAATAAAAAAAAAAAAGAGTAGTTTACATGGTTAAAGAAAGGAAACCTAAGTCGTAAGTAAGATATGAGCTATAAAAAGACAAAAACATTTTGAAGACACCAATAAGAGATGACGCAAATATAACACAAGAGATAAAAAGAATTAAAGTAACGTAACAGTGTACTAATTAAGGTGCCAATGATAGGTAATCAAGAAGCACAAAGAAAGAAATTATGAAACGTATTGGCAACGCTTCGTCAGCTTTCAAAAACTTGAACAAAACGTGTGTATTTTCAGTTGTCATGGTATTTCAGCTTTAAGATATGCCACTAGGAGTATGAGAACAACATAGGATATGTAACGAAAGTTAAACAAGTTTAGAAACAAATACCTGAGGAAACTGATAAACATAAAATTGGATGAAGTCAAAAAGAGTGAATAAGTAAGAGAAATGTATCGGCAGCCACTAGTATCAATATTGACAAGACAGAGAAGAAAGCGCTACGTTGGGCGCAGTCTGGGAAGAGATGAACCGACAATCGCCAAACAGGCACACTGATTCGTTTTCGTTCGGTCGATTTCAATTAGCAACGTTCAATCTCTGACCAGGCGGCCAACCTCGTCCTAGTCAATATCGGTTATGATTATGGTAACAAATTGTATTGCTTTTTTATTGGGTTGTGTTTAATGCTAGTCTTTTATTATTCCCGTGTCTATCTACCCAGTAAGGACGTGTCTGTCGCAATGTGCGAGCTTGGGTCTGATTAGGCGATGGGTTCTTTACTACTGCGCCATCCGTTGGTAGTGTTACTGCCATTGACTGTGGGCTCTTCTGAGCTATTCTTGGTGATATTGCTGTACAAGTTCTTTGTTTTGTTTCAGTAGCTGTTTTCGCTGTTGTTCCACAATTAGGTCCTCAGTTAAAATCGTGGTCTTGACAAAGCTTCGGCAACGTTGTCGGTATGTCGGCACTCAGTGGATGAGAAGTCGCCGTGGTGTAGCGCTCAGACGCTCGCCGGCGGTACGGAAGGTCGTGGGTTTAGGTCCTGACAGGGGTGGACTTTTTTCAAAGATGACCTTGGCTTCTACATCAACTTAGCCTTAAATGGGTACCTGGTACATTGCTGAGAGTTCAAGGTGGCTGGCATACTGTTTGACCACATCACTCACCAGTGGTCTATAAAATATAGGTCTGGCCCTATATGCCCAACACACCTGAGGGCGTAGACAATCTTCCTTGACTTACTCACTGGGTGATGTGGTCGAGACCAAGTCGGCGAATTTACTTCCCTTACTTCCTTGTATTCATATCGGCTTTATCTAAGCCTAAGAGTAATTATGAAAAACAGCAGGCAATCACCACACAGGCATTTAAACAGGAAATAAAGGGGTTACGGAGGCGATGATCCCCCAAAACAACCATAAGATTAATGTTAATAAGAGAGGCCAAAGCTGTGGGACCGGATTCCATCCAGGGTATTAAACTAATTGTACAGGACAGAACGGAAAGGAGGAATACACTGTGAGCCCTACGTGACATACAAGGGCACAAGAGTTTTATAAATAAAGAGTATTTATGAAAAAGTTCAGCCTGTCAGCTTCAAAAGATGCCAGAACAATGTCCTAGAACTTAAGGCAGCCGGTGTGATATTGACTACATCACCTATCGAGCGTCAGTTGGTTTTTCACCATGGTCGCTCAGTGGGTTTCGGGGCTCCAAATTAGATAATAAAGAATAGATCCACTGCACCAAGCCCTTACAAATATGACATAAGAGATTAAATTAGGGGAGTTTCCTTAAGTGCATCTGCCTGTGAGAGAAGGAACCATTATTTTGCGTACAAATAAACCAGACGTACTTACACAACTCAAGTTCTAAATCACGAACAAAGTCCAGGAGAGGTCGAATAACTAGCACATTCTGCCTGATTGGACTGAGAAGATGACCATGTACTGCCTACGATGACCATGTACCGCCTACGATGCTTATGTACTGCCTACAATGAACATGTACTGCCTACGATGACCATGTACTGCCTACAATGACCATGTACTGCCCACGATGCTTATGTACTGCCTACGATGACCATGTACTGCCTACGATGACCATGTACTGCCTACAATGACCATGTACTGCCCACGATGCTTATGTACTGCCCACGATGCTTATGTACTGCCTACGATGACCATGTACTGCCTACGATGACCATGTACTGCCTACGATGACCATGTACTGCCTACGATGACCATGTACTGCCTACGATGATCATGTACTGCCTAGGATGACCATGTACTGCCTAGGATGACCATGTACTGCCTATGATGACCATGTACTGCCTACGATGACCATCTACTGCCTACGATGATCATGTACTGCCTACGATGACCATGTACCGCCTACGATGACCATGTACCGCCTACGATGACCATGTACTGCCTACGATGACCATGTACTGCCTACGATGACCATGTACTGCCTACGATGATCATGTACTGCCTAGGATGACCATGTACTGCCTAGGATGACCATGTACTGCCTATGATGACCATGTACTGCCTACGATGACCATCTACTGCCTACGATGACCATGTACTGCCTACGATGACCATGTACTGCCTACAATGACCATGTATCGCCTACGATGACATGTACTGCCTACGATGCTTATGTACTGCCTAAGATGACCATGTACTGCCTACGATGACCATGTACTGCCTACGATGCTTATGTACTGCCTACGATGATCATGTACTGCCTACGATGACCATGTACTGCCTACAATGACCATGTACCGCCTACGATGACATGTACTGCCTACGATGCTTATGTACTGCCTAAGATGACCATGTACTGCCTACGATGGCCATGTACTGCCTACGATGCTTATGTACTGCCTACGATGATCATGTACTGCCTACGATGACCATGTACTGCCTACAATGACCATGTACCGCCTACGATGACCATGTACTGCCTACGATGACCATGTACTGCCTACGATGACCATGTACTGCCTACGATGACCATGTACTGCCTACGATGACCATGTACTGCCTGCGATGACCATGTACTACCTACGATGACCATGTACTAACTACGATGACCATGTCAGGGGTCAAAATAAAACCCTAACCTGCACAGCCTGTTGCCACAGAACTAGCCACGCTGCCTGTCTGAATCCCTCAGGCTCAAGCCCCCCCCCCCCTTCTTCCCCCCCCCCCCCACATACACATCAAAAGTGTAAGTACAGACAGTAATGGCTATTTTGGCAGATTATATTCTGAGTCAGACTTAAGTTAAATATTAACATTTCTGCTTCCTTTGTTCATGTGAGTAAAAAAAATTTTGTTTGTCCTGGTCAAATGAAGGTAAATAGGAGATGGAGATAAACAAGAAGAAGAAAAGAGAGAACAACAAAAATAATGCGAATAAGGAAAAGATAATAATGTGGAAGAGCTGGACTACTTCGGAAAGAAAAAGAAGAGGAAAGAGGTGAATAGCACTAGTGGGCGATGGTGTGATGGGGAGGAGGGGGAGAAGGAGAACACAAAAAGAAAAAGAAGAGGAAGAAGAAATGACATGAGATAAACTGCGTTTAGCTAAAAGTTAACTATCCAGATAATATAAACCGCTAACGCCTCAGGTAAAGTGTTCACAAATAATATACATATGCGCACAAATGGACAGGTGGAAAGCTCACTTCTTGAACGGCTGTCTCGTTTGTCTGGGCTGCAACTCCGATGTCCTTGAGTTTAGCAAGTTGTCTCTGAATATCCGGGCCCATGGCGGACGCATCAAACGTCAAAGCACGATCACGCATTTCTCTCTTAAACTTGGCGACTTTTATATCCTGCTTTATCTGTTAGAAATAGGCGGAAAGTTGTATATGACACTGTTAATTTAAGTGGCGCATCGGACATATGCTACTAGAGGTATTGGTACTTTAATTTTTATTTACCTCAAACAAAGGAAATCCGGGAGTTCCTAGAAAAGTCCAATGTCTTAGAGGTTTTATGGGTTGAAACAAACACCGAAGCCGTAATTTGGTGGGACAACAGCAAGAGAACGCCTACGAGCTTTGACACGAAAATGAAACGGTACAATAATTGTATGCCACCCCAAACAGCAGAAAACCCAAATTTCGCAGTCCAGTCCACTATTCTATAGGTGGTATGACATAACTGCGTTTCGTGTTCACACAATGTGCGGAAAAGTGTGCATGAGTACCGGGTGGGAAAACTGGAAACAATTATTTGCATGAGAATTTGTGTTCTTGCGCAACTGTCTTTTCTTTGTGGGAACAACTTGTGTTGCAACATTCTATGTGTGTGTGGTGCTGTGTAAATTCTCTGTGAAATCGTCAAGGCCTTGAGAGGGGTGGGTTGGGGGAGGGGAGGGAGCTCTGTAAAGGGCCATCTTGAGAAAAGAACGGACCGACGACAGTTATATCCATGTATGTATACTGCTTAATTGCCCAGCCAAATGACATTCATAATGTTTTACACAGATTGTAGATGTGGAGATGTCGCGTACACAACAGCTGACTAACTGACTAAACTGCCTGCCGACTGACTATTATTATTCCGTGACGCGCCTTGCTTCACCTTGATGTCCTATCAAGATTTTGAATACTGGCATCTCCAATGACCATGACTACCAATCAGCGACAGCGTCATAAGAGGATTTTAGGAGCGGTGTCTGGATGAATGAATGCAAGATGCCATGTTGCTGCAGCAGAAAAGCAACGCTGCTCTGCTTGTCATGCGCCAATGCTGACAGGTGAAGTAAATTCATCATACACGCTGATAACAGCCCAGCATAACGCATAAACAGCCCTAGAGTAGTCAACTGGACTGGACGTCCGGGCTTTGCTTTGACTGGGGTGATATACTAATATTGTATCTGAAACTAATCGTCGGCCTCCACCGCCTCAGAGAAACCGACCAACACTAACCCCAACCTATCATCATCATCAGTTTTCTTGATGCGTAGTCGCACATGAGGCTTCAGAGAGGACTTTCCGTGCTTTCCTGTCCTGAGCAATCTTCAGTACAGTTTTCCATATCAGAGATGTCGCATTCGGGTCACTCTCCATCGTTCGTCTCCATGTTGTTTTTGGGCGCCCCTTCTTTCTCTTTCCCTCTGGTGTCCACGTGAGAGCTGTTTTGACAGTTACATCAGGATCCTTTTTGGTCATTCTCCAGCATTCTGCTCCATAAAGAAAAGCAGGTAAAATAGTGCTTTTGTAGAGTCGAACTTTCGTTATTCTGCAGTAACTGTTGTATTTCCAGATTTACCTCATCCTTCCAAAAGCATCTCTAGCTTTGTTCAGGCGTGTCTGTATGTCTTCCTCTGACCCTCCCAGTAGGGACACCGCACTATCAAGATATGTCAAATGTTCCACATTTTCAAGTGTTTGGTTATTTATGGTCACTGGTTGTTGGTTTGGACTATTTGTCATGATTTTGGTTTTCCTTGTATTTATTCTCAGTCCCACCATTTCTGCTGTCCTGTGTAGTCTGTTACTTTTTTCTTGTATATGTTCATGTTTATATGATAGGAGTGCTATATCATCTGCAAAATCAAGGTCCGCAAGTATGGTAAATCGAGTCCATCGTATTCCTCTCGATGTCTTGTCTACTGCGTTCTTCAGTATCCAGTCAATAACAAGGTTGAAGAGGAGGAATGACATAACACATCCCTGTCTTACACCTGTCTTTACTGGGAGAGATGTATTGTAATATTTTATACTGCAATAAACGTCTTTATAGAAGAGAGCAATTATGTTGACTATCTTTTCTGGAATTCCAATAATATCGTAATATTTTCCAGTGACTGTCTCTATGGACAAAAAATTATTTACTCGGGTGGGAAGGAATATAGTAAGGGAGTTGGTATTATTTTGGATCCAAACAACTCAAAAACTGTTAAAGGATTTTGGACAATATCAGATAGAGTACTATTAGTAAAACTTCGCTGCAGACCGTTTGACATCAACTTAGTACAGATTAATGCCCCAACAGCAGATAGTTCAGAGGAAGATATTGACGCATTTTATTAGTTAGACATGGCTGTTGATCAATGCAACAATTGTGAAGTAACAATGGTACTTGGAGATTTCAACGCGAAAGTAGGAAGTGAAAAAGTGTACGCAATAAAGCGTGGCTATGGCCTATGAGAAAAGAATGTGAGAGGTGACAGATTAATAGCATGGGCTGAGTCACGCAGCATGATAATAGGTAACACCTGGTTTAAACACCATCCTCGAAGATTGTGGACTTGGAAAAGACCTGGCGATAATGTCCGCAATCAGATTGATTATATTTTGATTTCAAGAAGATTCCGGAGCAGTTTAGTTGGAGCAAAAACTAGATCAGGAACAGACTGCTTTAGTGACCATGTTCCAGTTGAGGAAAAATTAGAATAAAACTAAAGAACATTAGAAAAACACCACAGAACATCAAGTTGAAATTAGGAATTCTTGGAACGGATAAAGAAATTAAGGAACAGTACAATGTCACTGTACAAAACAGGTATAATGCAATGGAAATTATACAGACTATTGATGAACAGTGGGATATATTGCGTGAGTCAATTCAGCAGACATCTAAAGAGACAGTCCCACCAACCCATAGAGTTGCAAAAAAGAAATGGATGTCAACCGAAATTCTGCAGTTTGTGGATGAAAGAAGGAAGAAAAAGAATGATAAAGAAGAATACTCTAGAATACAAAAAGAAATAGTGAACAAATGCAAAGTGGCTAAAGAAGCCTGGCTGAATCAAATGTGTACAGAGATTGGGGAAAATCACAGGAAAGACTCACATTCCATGGACCAAGAAATAAATATGTTAACAGGAAAGATGACACGTAACAGCACTGGATGTTTGAAATCAAAAGATGGTGACTTATTAATGGGACATAGTAATATAATTAATAGATGGACAGAGTATATATAGGAATTGTATGATGATAATAGACCAGACGTAGAACTGCAGACCAACAATGATGGTCCACCAATAATGATTGCAGAAGTTGAAAATGCAATACATCAAATGAAGAAAGAATAAGCACCCGGTGCCAGACAACATCTCACTGGAAGAAATCGAAACACTGGGAAATTTTGGAATTGAAATAATAACTAAATTTTAAATGATATTTATAATAGTGGGTATATTCCAAATGACCTTTTAAAATCCATATTTATAGCTCTGCCAAAGAGACCAGGCACTTTAAAATGTGAAGACCATCACACAATAAGACTTATAAGTCACATTACTAAGATTTTACTGAGAATAATTATGAGAAGAATAAGAAACACAATTAAACCATAAATCAGCGATGAACAATGTGGATTTGTAGAAGGAAAAGTTACAAACAATGCCATATACATCCTAAGGACATTGTCAGAAAGAGCTATAGAAGTAAAGACTGATTTGTACATGTGCTTCATAGACTATACAAAAGCATTTGACTGTGTGAAGCATGAAGAAGTAATCAAACTGTTAGAAAAATTAAAAATTGATGGTAAAGATCTATGAATAATAAAGAATATGTATTGGCAGCAAACAGCAGCTATAAGAATAAACAACTGTTTAGGTACATTTAAAAACATAAAGAGGGGGGGGGGGGGGTTCGACAAGGATGTTTACTTTCACCTGATTTGTTTTCAATATAGAGTGAAAATATTATGAGATCTTTAATTGATATACCCGGAATTGTGGTTGGTGGGCACAATATAAACAATTTACGTTATCCTGATGACACAGTCTTGATAGCAACAAGTCAGAAAGAATTACAGGAAATGATAGACATTGTGGTGTTAGAAAGTGGAAGAATGGGCCTCAGTTTGAATAATGGGAATACAGAAGTAATGGTGGTATCAAAGAAACAAATTTTTCCTAAATGTGTAATAAAAGTCAATGGTGTTATTTTAGGACAAGTACAGAAATTTAAGTATCTGGGCACATGGATAACATCAGATGGAAGATGTATAACTGAAATAAGAAACACAATTGGACAGACAAAAACTGCATTTTATAAAATGAAAAACATCTTGTGCAATATATCCTAGTCATTAAGAGTTAGAAAAAGAATTCTTGCTTGCTACATACATCCAGTTTTAACATATGGATGTGAATCCTGGACAATCGGTAGGCAGGCCAAACCATTTTTAGAGGCCTCAGAGATGTGATTTTACAGAAAAATGCTTAGAATACCTTGGACAGCCAAAAAGAGCAACCAAGAGGTTTGGAAAGAGGCGCGAACCCGAAGACAACTTATCACAGACATCAGAAGGAGACAGTCATCATTAACAGGGAAAATAGAACATGTTGTAACCACTGGAAAGATCTGTGGAAGGAGGGATAGAGGAAGACATCGAGAAAAGATGCTTGACAGTCTTGTTGCATGGCATGGAGGTGTGTCGGCACACGAACTGATACATGCTGCAGGAGATCGCAGAATATGGAGAGGCATGGTCGCCCACGCCAGTCGGCAAGGTACCTGATGATGATGATGATGATGGTGATGGTCTCTATGGACGCTGTCAAAAGATTTCGCAAAGTTCACAAAATTATTATATATACTTCTCTGCCATCCATTGCATTGTTCTAAAATGTTACGAAGAGTTAAGAACCCCAACCTGTAACACCCCTTAATTGTTGGACTGTCACAGTAACACCAGGATTGACTTTGTTTGGTGTAAAGTGTAGACATTTTTTGATATATTACTGGCCATTCGTATGAGTAAAGAGAAGAATGGAGAACGTAGGGCTCTCCCACGGGAGATACAGGTTCGAATCCTTGTTAAGCTTGGAGGTCTTTTTTCCGCCAGTGGCTTTAACGTTTGTGCAAACAGGATCACACGACGTGTGAAAGAATATTACGCCATCGATTCTTCAGTTTGTGACTAGCCTCCACATGGTGAGAGATTACGCCATCGATTCTTAAGTTTGTGACTAGCCTCCACATGGTGAGAGATTACGCCATCGATTCTTCAGTTTGTGACTAGCCTCCACATGGTGAGAGATTACGCCATCGATTCTTCAGTTTGTGACTAGCCTCCACATGGTGAGAGATTACGCCATCGATTCTTCAGTTTGTGACTAGCCTCCACATGGTGAGAGATTACGCCATCAATTCTTCAGTTTGTGACTAGCCTCCACATGGTGAGAGATTACGCCACTTCATGCTCCAAGCATTTCCTTGACTGGGAAACCCTTTGCGGGGACACGGATAAACTTTTGCCGTCGGGCCAGCTCCCGGCCGATAGAAATGGCATGAACATGTCGAGAATGCACCTACAACTATACTTGTGGTACAGTCCTGGAAAGTAAACGCGGCTGGAGTAATGTTGACCACAACAACCAACAAGTGCGTATTTTAATCTAACATGTAAGTCAAGCCATTTATGCGTAATACAGCTGCAGGCGTCGAAAAGTTCGCTTTGCTTTTTTTTTTTTTTTTTTGCTCTGAAAAATTTCCTCTGAAATTGTTTTAAAGCAAGTGGGTAGAAACAATTGTAAGCTGTAAGCTGCGGCGGAAAGTTCTGGCTGTTCCTCAACTTCTGGACTCTAGTCCTGGTCCAGAACCCGAGAGTTACGTGTACATCCGTTTCACAGGCCTGACTCATTTTCATGCAGACTGTTGGTTCCTTGCCTCTAAGGCAGATGTACTCCGACTTCAAAGAAAGCTCGGAATTAATCGACTCCCACGACATGCTTTTTGGCAGGCAGTGGTCTATTCTTGTTTCCCCCATAGTTGGGCCCCAAAATCCACACGGGAAGTTTATGAAATAATATAACATGTGCAGCGATGCATGATGATTTTTTTGAAAGCCTATCCCAGATACAATTAAATATTATCTTTATCTAACTCATCTGCATCATGTAGCAGGTCCTTTGCAGAACGTCGCTCTCATCACTGTCTGCCGGAAAGAAACTCGGTCTCGCACCAGCTCTCCCGCATCATGTACTTTCATACTAAAGGAGTCACTTATATCATGTGCCCATCTTCGTGTTGGTCGGCCCCTGCCCATCTTTCCTGTTACCATGCCTTCTGTTATAATTATTTCTAGTCCGTCGTGGCGTTTGATGTGACCAAAATATTTCAGCTTTCGAGAAAGGATTATGTTTATTAGCTAGTCTTCCTTCATGTTCAGTATTTCTCCTCTTCTTTGTCCAAGATATTCTGAGAATCTGAGAATCTGAGAGCATGCTCTCAAAATTATAATTGTGATCTCCTTGCGTGTGCTTAACCATAGCATTTTTAGACCGTTTTATCGTTGCACTGCTATGACGATCCTTCTTTTAATTTCTGTCAAACGGTCTCCATTGCTGTTTATCATAGAGCCTAGATATTCAAAGTTTGCTACATTTTTAATTTCTTCATCATTTATTTGTATTTTGGGGGACAGCCAGTTTTATCTGTGGACATTATTTTCGTTTTCTTTAAATTCGAGAGCAGATTTTGACCTTCACTGTGGTTTTGGACAGACACTATTAAATCTTCTATTTATCTAACTCACAGGAGGCTAATGCAGGAGACTGACCACCTGAGAGAGAAACGCATATGAACTGAGTTGCAATTACGTAAATGAGATGATGGCAAAACCTGACCTATACAATTCGCTATTCAAAAAACAAAACAAAAATAATGAGACCTTGGTTTTCCCTATGGACAACCTCTTTAATATGTGCAGTCTGATGTTTTTTCAAAGTTCTCATGCTCCATTAAATTTAAACATGTTAACTGGATGCGTTGAATCAGTCTCCGTGTTTTAAATATATATACCGCTATTCATGCAAAAGTTAAAACTAGATGTTTGTTTACATTATAATTATTTTCCCACAAGGACACGAGTATTAACAAGTCACATGCCACATTGGTCAATATACCGAACAGTGACTGAGTTACATTCAGGTTTTTAAAGCTTGGCACGACTTTGGGAACGGACAATAGAATGCTGCCTTACCAGAGATAATGCAACCGCGCATAAGTGCTCAGTCATGCATAAAACACTTACCAGATCTTTGTACTTGCTTTCCTCCTCAACGTTGATTTGCGATTCCCAAGCTTTTAATGCCAGCTCATTTAATGCTTTTGCCATCTCTGTATTGTATTCGTTAATGAGCGTTTTCGCTTCTGCCTCGTTAGTGTTAGCTCCAACACTGGCCACAAACGTCAGAAAAATGGCCAGAAGTATCAGATCAAGGAGTGGCAGCATAGCTGAACGAATCTTCTGTGGCTGTAGATGAAAAAGCCGGGATAGATGACTCAATAGTGAACACAGATGGTTCTGTACATTGGGATCGACATCTGGTTTCTCAGCTTTTGTTTATAGAGAAAAGTCGTGGCAGAACAAAACAATGTAATTTTTTTTTTTTAATCTACAGCTTTAGGCACGAGAATGGAGATGGAGACAATCACTGCAGCTCTGAAGTAGCTCGCTGAAAACAGATTTACCAGAAGCATCATTGTGTCTGTTTCTCTGGCGGTGTTGTGGAAAAATGGACACATGTGGGATGAGCCGATACCAAACTTCAGCAGGGTAATATTGCAAAGACCCATGTTGATTGACTGTCCGGGACATACTAAGTGCGCAGTAATGAATAGCGGAATTGTTTTCTTTATTTTTTTTTTTCTCTACGAAAGCAACAGCTTTAGAACACTCATATTGCACAAACATACGCTCTGGGGACTAGTTCTGAACGAATTATTATAAAAGCTAAAATAATAAACCAAGTAATATGCATAAGGCTTTATGAATTTAAAATTAAGTCTGAATTCAGCAAGAGTGGACGTATAAGATAAAAGAACGACGTGTGTATAGGTATGATTTAAAAACACCTGGCATCTTCAATTTAGGACGGACTGCCAGTGGAAATACCCCTTATACTGTCAGTTATCAGTAATCATATTCATTGGGTACACTTTGAAACTAATGCATACACATATAGCACTGTGGATAATAGGACAACGTGGATATCATAAAACACTCCTCCTCATCATATGCTGTATCCTTTAAACTGTCGCTCTCATCAGGGCATACCTAAAAGCTACTAGGTCCCTTCCCAAATTCCTGCCCAGCGGGTCCTTGATTTCCTGCTTCCACCTAGTGCCGGTCGATTCATGACTCGTATTTCATAAAGCAGCCTCCATTACCGTTCCCAGCGAACCATAGTGGCTGAAATATTTTGGCTTATAAGAATCAGTATTGTTTATGAGCCAGCCCCGCCCTCTCTTTTCTTAACAGAAGTCTCCATGGCGAAGTGGTCAAGCCGTTTGCTTCACAGCTCTGAATGTTATTGATTCGTTTCCGACGGCTTCCTACAGTATAGGAGTAGATTTGTTACGGAATAAATGAATGAATGAATGAATGAATGAATAAATGAATGAATGAATAAATGAATGCAATAAGAACTGACATCACTACACTCGGGACATTCCCACACGAGCTAATCTCCTTTTTCAGTAAGCAAATAAGAGTCGACATAGTGATAGTACCAGCTGTTACATGATTAAAGGTCCACCTGTTTCCACCTCAAAGTTGTATATCGTTCAGATCCTCTACACACACATCGCTGAATTAGTCTTTCAACGCATGAATTCTCTGTCAGTTCTATTGCACGGTCATCTATAGCCTGCTCAATGCAAGCCAGTCTCCACGCAAGACGCCAGTTTCAATTTTCCGAAACTTGCTCTGTGAGTCTGTAACAATGACACTATTTCGGGACGTGTTGCACTCAAGATATCGGAAAGTGTCATTACTGCCGCCACCTCCATTCTCATACTGGATGTGACGTTGTCCGCCAGGCGCTCTGTTTTCAAACAGTGTACACTCATATTTGTAATACAACTCCACCCACTCTTCTGACCTCTCACTGCAAATCCCTCAGTTTATTTTATCCATTCCTGACACCCTCGGTCGAAGCAAACTCTCACTCTATACAAGTCCGTCTTGCTGAGCGGCTCTGTAACCCATCCTACCCCACGCGCCATCTTGTCATTAGCACAAACAGTTCTGATCGTGACCTCTAGCTGTGCCTACCAAGAGCCACCTCTTTTCAGCCGTTGTCCCTTGCTATCTCCTAAGGTCTTATGCGGAAGGTGTTCCGCGTCTGTTGCGACCTTAAGGTACATTTTCGCCTGTTAAACTGTGTATCTGTCATTCATGGATGGCAATGCAAGTATGAGCTGCATGCACACAATTTACATGTCCCACGTACATCTAAAAATGATCGCAATGCTTCTTTATTGCCTCTCTATTTGGATAGGAGATAATTTTTGAAGTTCTAAGCCATTCTTCTTTACAGAAATATTCAGTCCCTGGTAGAGTGTACGGAGCATTTTCTGTTCCATATCCGCTGATACCATCACCTTTAAAGCATGGAGTCCTTTCCCTATCTTTAAAACAATTTCTTCCTCATGTTTTTGGAAAGACAGACTCCTGTCAAAAGTGACTCCTAGATATTTTAGCAAATTATTTACCTTTATGTTACTACCGTGTATTGTGATGTCTAAAAGGACAGAGACATCTTTATACTCTGAAGAAAACTTGACCAGCACTAGACTGTAAAAAGATATGAGATTGCCAGGACACAAACTTAAGCTGTCATTTTCTAGTTAGGTAGGTAGGTAGTTAGTTAGTTAGTTAGTTAGTTAGTTAGTTAGTTAGTTATTTAGTTAGTTAGTTAGTTAGTTAGTTAGTTAGTTAGTTAGTTTGTTAGCTAGTTAGTTAGTTAGTTAGTTAGTTAGTTAGTTATTAAGTTAGTCAGTTAGTTAGTTAGTTAGTTAGTTAGTTAGTTAGTTAGTTAGTTAGTTAGTCGACAGATTATCCTCATTGCACACAGAACCATTCAGTTAATATGTGCTCAGATCCCCGCCTTAGTAAATCCCGCAGCACGTAGCAGCTCAGGATACCAATTCTGTGTTCGTTTTTTATTATTTTCTGGCTTCCTGCATAGTGCTCTTTTCTGGCCACACCCATTTTAACATGTTCTTGCAGTCTGACCATGGTTGCAGATTAACAGTCACGACTCAGTTCTCCATTAATGGGTTTACCTGATATAGTCCTACACTCTGTGGAGAAACTACAGCTCGTCCTGTTTGAGCTGACCGTGCCGTATGAGTTACGAATGGACAAGAGTCACATGTATAAGCTCGAGAAATAGAGTGATCTCGCGGCTGGTCTGAGGAGAGATGAAGCGTACACAGTAAGGATCTTTGCCGTCGAGGTAGGCACAAGAGGTCTCATCTCCACTCTCATGTACAATGCGATAAAGCAGCTGGGCTTGCGATGAAACGAGCGCAAACGATCACTAAAACAACCGGGCGAAGCTGCAGAAAGGGCTTCAAGCTGGCTCTGGACACAACGGAACTTCGTGTGGGACAGGCTTAGGTAGACTGGTTCGAGTATCTAGTGGAAAAGAAAATCTTATCCCTTAAGTCCATCGTGTCCGAATTGTCTGCCTGTGTCCATGTGGTAATTGCCAACAAAGTCTAACATGTATTTGATAAACCAACCGTAAGTTTGCCACTTGGTGGTCAACGAATGCTGACTGATCTAATTATGCTATCGCAGCGACTATGTAAATAAACTTAAAATCTCACAGTAACTGTTGCACAGTCACCAATTTAGTCTTGTCCCTACCTGAGAACATTAGGTAATACGTGCAGCAGGAGCAGATCAAGCCTGAGCTTCGTGAACTCAGGTAGGCCCACTCTCTGAAATTGTCTATGAGTTCGTGGGCTGAAACAGTTGTGGACGAGGGATCACTTCTACTGATGATTGGTAGACTCCTGTTGTCCATACTCCCCTGTGGAGTTCTTCTTACTTGTAGTGCATTCAGAATATCAGCATGGGCCATGGCTCGTCCACCCTTTAGAGAAGCTTTACCTGCAAGCCGATCAGCCTACTCATTTCCTTGCACGCTTGAGTGCTCTGGCACAAAAATTAAACTAATATGTGTCAGCTCGGATCGCTTTAGAGACTCCATGCACTGTCTTTGGACCTAGCCGTTCTCTAACTTCCTGAGCTGTCATTGTATATTGTGTCCAATACCTTTCATTGGTAAAAGAAACGTCAAGTATTTCTCCCTTGCACGAAGTCATAATTCAACCCTAGATTTGATTGTGTGTATATGATTTACCTTAGCCAATATTTTTCCAGTAGTTTGCCGTTGCTTTAAGGACGATTCGACGCTGAAATCTGTGTCGTATTAAACACAAAACTGCTTGCCACAAACAGCTTGTAGCGGTTCAATGTTTTGGATTTGCATTGTGAATTTGGTTCAGGAGTTGAATGTTGAATTAAGAATCGATATCATAGCAATTAGGACACTCCCATGAGCGTCCTGTCTTCATCTTCAGAAGCAAGCAAAAAGTTCAAATTCAGATATCACCAGTAACTGTGCCATCGCCGGAGCTACCGAGTGCGTGCTCTGTGCTTGAAACCATCTTCAGGTGGCATCAGGAGTGCCAGTCTTAGGTTTCATGGTTGTCAAACATGCAGATGTAAGTCCGCAATTAAAAAACAGACCTTCAATTAGTTAGAACAAAGCGCATGACATATGATCCATTCGTTCCATTGCTCTGCTGGAAAGAAAAATTGTCAGTTCAATCAGCATCCCGGAAGGGGAGAGCTTTAGGTTATAATTGTGACTAGGTTATGAGGGCCATAAAAAATGGCCTAGCTTTGCACGCCACAAAGAGACCCAAATAACTGAGGAAGTCGTTAATAGGTGAGGTGATGGGCGACCCAATTGCCAGTATGATGCCATATGGTTCTACACCCATCTTGTTATACACCAAAGGGTTCTCAATTTTTTTAGAGTGCGTAAGTGAGTGGGAGAGAGTGAATGAGTGAGTGCGTGAGTGAGTGAGTGAGTGAGTAAGTGAGTGAGTGAGTGAGTGAGTGAGTGAGTGAGTGAGTGAGTGTGTGAGTGACTGAGTGAGTGACTGAGTGAGTTAGTTAGTTTGAACACTAGTAGGAGCGCACACTGAGCGAATAATACCGATGACGCAAAGTGTCACTATCCGGATGAGAAATCATCAGCTACAAATCCCAGGCATGCCATTCAACCGTAAAGCTAGGGCTCCAGACGGTTCACAGTAACCTGAAGGTCAGACAGCGTAGGACGATCGTAAAAACTCACTGAATAATTTGTTCAACATCACACCTGCTGCATTTACTTCTGAGACAAATTTTAGGTACCAGTTTTAGGG